CACTTGTTTTGCTCCCTCCTGCCGTTGTCATATGTTTGCATCTTAGACTGCTTTTTAAATGTCTGATTATGGCGAAAATGTTCCTGTTACTCAGCCAAGTCGCTGGCCACCCCGACATCGTTTTTGCATGAATTTGGGAGTGCATACGTGTTAAATGGATTACTGAGCATCTTTTGTATGGCTCATTATGTTTGTCCAATTTAGGAATATCACATCAAGAGGCAAACCTAAGTTTTGATGTAGCTGCAGTGGAATGCAAAACTCTTTTAAAATGAGTTCCATTAAGTAACTCGATGAAAACACTTGTCAACTGTGGTGTCCCGCTGCATAGTGAGGCATTGGAGTATAAGGCAGCAGTTCTCATATGTGTTATGTTCATCATAATTATGGGGCCTCTGGCTGGTTTAGTTGTTCAGTGATTTTTTTCATATTCCAGTATTCGTTGTCTCTCATCTGAAATGTTTTGCTAAGGATTATTGTGTTTTAAATTTATTTGTTGTGCCTGAACTTTATTTTCTGTCATCTCACTATTTGCAAAATAGGGCTGAAGATCTTGTATGTAAAGTGTTCAAAATGTATTTTGCCTGACTGAATTGAAGATGAATGGCATGGATCTTATTTCAATGTTGAGAACCAGTGATTTTATTTGTGTGGAAGAGCATTATCTCTTTTTTTTATGATTTCTTGTCTGTAATCATGGTTATGTCCTTGCATTGCATATCCTTTAGCATCTTAAACTGTTCAGTTATATTTACACATCTGAGAAGGGGCATACTGTAAGATATCTTGGTCTTTCCACATATGACTTTAGCAGGTAGAGATCGAAGACTTGAGGGGAAAAAACAATGCTTGGTAGACCACACTGACTGACTGACGGACGGATGGAGGTTTGTGTAAAGGAGTAAAAACTGTATTTATTTTGGTGGTTGGCTTTGTTTCATTTCAGCATCTTATTTTTTACTTTTATCATTTCTATCAGTTTGCAGGTCAGAGAATGCTGTAAAACCATTGAAAAAAGTAACAGTTGAAGATATTGTGTACATGTTTTCTGATGTTTTAAGAGTATATAAATAAACTGTGAACTTCCAAGATTTTATCTAGTCGTCATTATTTTCGTATTTTATCTTCTTAATACCATTTCTCACTCCAAACCATATTTGTCTCAGGTGTGGCCTAGTTCACAACCCTGTTTTGGGAAAAGCTGTTTTTCCATGTTTCTCAAAAAAAAAAAAAAATCTTTGACAAATCACGACAGCCCAACCAAACTAGTGACTGTTGTCTGTCATTTCGTAATGAACTAAAATGGAACAGATTTTCATACCTGCAAACAGATGAGAAAACGTAGGGCAGACTGAACCAAAATGTGCCAGACTAATTACACATCATATAGTAAATTAAGATACACCGGGTTGTCATAAATAGTTTGTGATTTGACATTTCAGTGGATCTCTGTTGTGCAAGTTTGTCTTCATGGTGTCAGCGTCCACGTTTTCTTGGCTTTATAAGATCTGACATTACAATGGAAAAACAGCGGTGCATAACATGAAACTTTAATGTAAAGAGACCTTAATTCTATATGTTTGATTTGCTTTGAATATACATGGAAGAAACCTCAAATGTTGAAAGAAAATTGGATGTGTTGCCCTACCTGGCTTCATATGAGGAAATCTGTGAATTGAAAGTCAAAAAATAACTTTCCCACTTTTTAAAGCTCATTTATTTCTAGAGACTATATCTTCTATCCAATAATGTCAGTTATGGACCAGGGAGCAAGTCAATTTTTTTTTGTAGCTAAAAGTCAGAAT